CTATATGCTTCAAAACGTCTAGGCTGTTCGAGACCCACTTAGTTAGACGAAAGCCGGCCTTAGCTAACACTTCAGTGATGCTTGTTGCAAATCTAACTGCAGACTTATCATCATCGAAGGAGGCTAAACAATCATCCACGTAGAAGCAACAATCTATGACGTCCAGCAAATCATTAGAACCAAATGTGGACACTGCCTTTCGTAGAGCAAAATTAGCACAAAATGGGGAGGACGTGGCACCAAATGGATGCACTGTCATCCTATATTCTGACACCTTACCACAAGGACCGTCATCAAACCACAAAAACCTCAAGTGATCTCTGTCACTCTCTGGCACCTTCACCTGTAGGAACATTTCCTCAATATCCGCCGCGACAGCAACTGTAAACTTTCTGAATCTCAATAGCAGTCCCACTAATGAGCTCACGCAATCTGGGCCACTATACAGATTATCATTTAAAGAGACTCCTTCATGTTTCGCAGAACAATCAAACACCACACGGAGTTTACCTGGCTTCCTCGGGTTAAAGACGGGATGATGGGGCAAATACCACTTCCCTGGCTCACTCTGATCAACTAGTCTTTCAACGTAACCCTTCATTATATGTTTATCGACGACTTCCTTATATTTGGACCAGAGTTCTGCATCTGACAGAAATTTCTTCTGTAAACCCATTAGTCTCTTAAGAGCAACTTTCCTATTACAAACCAACTGTCTATCTTTGAATCTCCATGGTAGGCCAACGCTGAAACGCCCGTTTTCGTATTTACAAGACTCCTCGGCTATTTTAACTGCTTTTAAGTCTTCTACAGAACGACCCTTCCCTGGGACACCGCAGTCACAAAACTCCTTGTCATACATATTTTTAATCATAGTTTCTAGTTTGTCCCCATCGTTTGCAACTAATGATGATATGTGGACTATGGGTATAGGTCCTCTCACTGTCCATCCCAGTGGTGTTTTCGTCGCGAACAGATCATCTCTACCTCCAAATCTCTCTTCTAATACCTTGTGAGCTTCTGGCACACTACATCCAATGAGTACTCTCACTCTTCCATCTTGCAGTGTTGGAAGAGGTATGTCACACAGGTATGGCTTACCGACAACCGTTTCACGACTAGGTACTATAGCTTCGCCAAGTTTCATACTGGAGGTAGTGTAAGCAGTATCCACTTCCACGGTCTCCCCAGTAGCCAAGGATTCTAACTGAAATGACACTCGCTCACATACTACTGTTTTCGCAGAATTGAAAGTATTTACAACCAAGGGTTGCTTTGGGCCTTTAATACCCAAGCAACCAGCCAGTTCAGCATCTATCAATGTAACGTCTGAACCATTATCCAACAATGCATAAGTCTCTACTGAAGATTTCGGTCCTTTCACCTTAACTGGTAATACCCCTAAGAAAACTTGTGGGATGTCAAGGGGTCTAGAGATACTATTACAATTAACCGAATTCCCAGGTTCGTTCACTGTCCTCAGAAGTGGGTGCATATCCGTTAAACCACTACTTCCTTTTTTGTCGCCTTACAATTCCACTTTGTATGCCCAATCTTTAAACAACTGAAACACAGCCGCTTCTGCTTTGCCATTTTTAACCTTTCTACGGGTGACATAGCGATAAAGCGATTACAATCACTCAATTGATGCATGTTATGGCAAACAATACACTCATCCTTTCTCGTTGTGTCTTGAGACTTCACCACAAATGCCTTCCTTATATTCACTGGTTCCTTAGGTTCTACCTTAGAATGCAAAATGCTGGCGAATTTGCCCATCGCCTGGTTGACACTGTCCTTCACCAGTCTCAGAATATCATCAAACCTTGGCTCGATACCCTCATCCTCTATACGAGAGCTTATTTTTACCCACTTCCTTTGCAGCCGAGTAGGTAGGCGTCTCGCAATTACCTCTAGGACTGAGCTGGAGTTGAGGTCACTCATGCAATTCATCGAAATCAAGGTATTCTTGTAAATCATCAAATTATCTAAAAACTCAGTGAGTGCCTGGGAGTCATCCTGTAATTGACCACCATTACCCTTAACAGCCTCGAATAATTTCCCTACAATCATCGAAGGTCTTCCAAACCTTTGACGTAATATGCTCATAGCCTCAGCGTATCCCTCATTAGGGGGCATGAGCTTACAGCACTGTATAGCTCTTGAAGCATCTCCAGTGCAATACCTCATCAAATACATTAACTTCAATTCATCACTTAATAAAAACTACTCAGCATGATCTCAAACTCCTTTACAAATTGTAAATAATCAGCCGGGTTTCCATCAAAACACCGTGGTTCAAATTTAGGGAGTTTGATGTTCCTATTATCCCTGAACGGCGAAACAGTAACATCAACCATGTCATGCTTAACATCAGACACATCGTTACAATTAACAGACAAGTCACCATGACTTACTTTCCTGTTTGCATCCAAGACGTTCTGTCCCTTCTTTGACCCAGGCATTGTTGAACTTGAACCAATTCCAAAAAGTTCCAGATATTGCTTGTTCAAAGAGGACTTGACCGGCACCAGGAAAGATGAACGGTGACTATCCAAAGTCGTGCCAACTGTCCAAAACCGTTTAAAAACTGACGTTGTATCGTCAGAAACTTACTTCACCGTCAGAAACTGTCAGTCACGTCTTGTAAACCGTTAACGCCCAGCTCTTGCTACGCTCGGGCTCACGCTGTTCCTTGAAGTTTCTCAGAAACGCTTAGTGATAACGGACGAAAAAACCAAAACACCAATTGTTGACTCGAGAATTATTTATTCTAACACCAACATATAATCAATGTTACAACTAAGGCCTGTGAACGAATATTACAATAATAAATCACAATATTACTTCTGACGGTTTTCTGCTGACTTCTTTCTGAACAGCGACCGATGAGACGATGACTGTCGTAATGATGCCTCCGCGAAAATTGGGGAAGTTGGTTTTGAGCAAACAACCATGAATTGATCGTTCAATCTTCAACTACATTGACAGCATGTATCAAATTTAGACCTATTTTCACAACTTCTTCTCTTGTAAAATCTATGAATAGGTTACTCTTACTCGATCTTAGACCTTCGCATAAAGGTTTTATCGATCCAAAACAACTCGCTTACAGGCATAGCAGTATTAATTTGGATTCAGTTGTAGTCTTACATCATAATATCGTCTTCAGTTCAGACAAGGGGGGTGAAATTGTTTGCTCCACCCTCCTAGGTTACACACGAGCTTTCGACTCAGTACCTAGAGATATTTTGCCAAATAAGCTTGCAGAAGCTCAAACTGACTGTTAGGTTGTCAAATGGCGGCATTCTTATTTCCTAGAGGGAAGGCAGTACACTGTATGTCAGAAAAGTCATCCATTTTATTGCCTACTGAGGCTGGCGTCCTTCAAGACGCTGTCCTTTTCCCCTTTCTGTTTTCTTTGTTCTTGCATGACTTGCATCACTCCGATGGAATGAACTTTGTTAAGTGTACCGACAATCTAACTGTTTCAATGTCTGTTAACTCCCAGCTGAACTACACTAAGATGAACAGTTTTTACTATCAGGAGTCAGCATATAGTGATTTTTTTGTAATATTTGTTCATAGAACTTAGTTATTATGTTGCTCACATGTTGGTGTTAAAAATAAAGAATTCTCGAGTCGCCAATCAGCGTTTTGGTTTTCGCGTCCGTTGGTACTAAGCGTTTCTGAAAGGCTTCGAGAGACAGCGAGAGGCCTGGCGTAGTAAGAGCTGGACATTAAAGGTTTTTGAGAAGTGATTGACAGTTTCCGACGGTTTGTAACAGTTTGGATAGGGTATGCAGGGAGAGAAACCTGTGTGATGATCAGATATTAGTATTTTAGAGATATTAGTAACCGCGTTTGGTACCGACAGTTTGACAGCTATCTTCCGGGGCTATGTCTTGTCCTAGCTGTAGACTGTTTGCGATGCAAGCGAGGAATTGATCTGATGTCATGCGTGTTATATGCATGATGCCAGGTGTTTCCGTCAACTAATACTGGTGAAAATTCTGCCCTATGCAACTAGTCGGGCAATGTTATTGTGAAAGGTATGATCGATATGAGTATTCGGTCACTTGTCGCCAGAATAAGAATGAAGTCTTGGTATCTGGTTGAGGTAGCATAGCAAGTTTTGTGAAGAGGTCGTTACATGCTCCTTACTAAACACATAAGATATGTGAATGAGTTCTATGGTCATATTTGGTTTACCGAAGGTAGTGTGTAGCCAATGATTAAGGGATTTTCTGAAATATTCGACTGATGGAACATTCATAGGAGGCTGGATAACAATGGGTTCGCGTAGAGGGTGAGCAGAGTAATACCAATTACCTCGATGTGTTGTTTATCCAGAAGTAGTGTTTGGGTATAGCTGACTTTCCACCTGTGACCAATAAGGCCTACCTCTAGAAGCTTGGTCTATTGTGATTGATTCCCTTGGTGAAGTGAAAGTTTCGAAGTTGAGTGATAATAACTGATACGATTATGAGCAATTAATTGTGTTCGAAACGTTATCCAGTAAATAATGCTGTTTCGCCGTGTGATGTATCTAATAAACAAATTATTTTGGAATTACACACTACCGCTGTGTCGTTATACACATATATATATGTCCTTCACCCTAATGTCACAATTGCGAGTTACTAATTAATAGAATTATGTTTTGGTTTAAACTACTTGAAACTTGAGGAAAGCTCGTGGGGTTATTTTACTAAACTCGTTATTTCTACTACAGTGCAGAATTAAGATTTTACCCGAGACATTTTCACATGTTCCTTCAGTAGTGATGCCTTGCAACCGTATTGAAAACTAACGTTTACCTAATATTAAACACCTAATTAAGCACCGAAAGAACAGCGTATTGAACGTTTCATAAGTCCATCTGTGTTGGAAAATTGTTTTAAATTTTCAAAAGTGAATGTACACAACCCATCATTTAAACGCGTTATTTTAAAAAAATTATAAATTTCTAAGATAAGACGTTATTGTTTCATCAAAAAATGAAGGGTTGTGTACAGTGCTTGAGAGTGATATTAGTGGTCTTTAACTTCCTTGTAGTGGTAAGTAGAAATTTCCTCAGCCAATTCAATATTTACTCATATGAATCGTTTGCATCTACATAATTATATAGTATAATTGTACTCTTCTTTAGTCTATCCATGTTTGATGATTTTGAGTAGATTATTACTGTGTAGAAGCTCATAAAGTGTTGAGATTTCAAGACTTCCTTCAAAAAATTATCTAATTGATGGATATCCCAAAATATCGTTTTCACACTTTATAATACTAGCAATTAATAATGAGTCATGCATTTCATATTCCCATATTTTGAATAAATAAGACTGCAAATTTAGTATTGTGTGGACCGGTGGTAGACCATCTTTTGTGAATGTGCATTTATATGATATATTTCATTAAAATGTGTTCCACTCAGAGTTCATTGTAATTCTTTAGCCATCTGATCCTTACTAGAGTGTGTGAAATACCACACACATCCAACATCTGGAAATATTTTGTTTTTTGCTTCATTTCATCATTAGGGTACAACTATATATACATATATTAATGAAAGTGACATCCCTCTCCATGATGTACATTGTTCAGCTTCCTGTATCTCTATTACATTCGAGGATCTTGGAGTAGAAATGAGACTGCATTTTTGTAGTACACAGCGAGAATTTTGGGTTACATTTTATACTTCGTTATCACGCTAACACTGAATTTCCGCGAATAAAACCACTATTTCTTCAAAGTGAATGTCACTTTGTTGTAGTTACTATGTGATTTTACTGTGATATTACTAGATAGCTTTCACTTAGCCAGTGAAGTGCTTTTCTCTGTTACAACAGTTGAGAAAATTAATGCCTTCTTGTTAAGAAGCGTCAAGCATGCCTTACAGAAAGTACGACATTACTCAGACTGTAGACTTCGTGCCTGACAGAAGCTGCAGCGGTAATACTATTTCTGTGGAAGTGTGTGGAAATACCACTATTTTGAGACAGCAGATTATCCGCTACCATTTTTTGCGTGTGAATCTATAAGAGATTCGTATGTAAACCTTCTGTACGCCTGAGTATACAAGGTCATAGCTGGTTGCTGAAAGCTATTTGTTTTCCTTCTAAACCTTAGAGCAATTTCCTCGACGAACAAAGTTGTTTTAAGCAGTTGGACAATGTCTTAAGATGCGATGCACTTATTCCTCTCTGATTTCTATCTTTAGGCACTTGAAATCCGTTCAAAATGGTGTTTTGTTATGCATTTTGATACGTTTATGCTCCTCTTGTTCAAGATAACTCCAATATGCTGCTAAGTTTTTCTCTATTGGAAAAAGCACATTACCTAACATTTGAGACAGTTAAACCTTATTATTGTTTGGAATATAGATTTTCTTATGATAACCACAAGGACAAACTAGTGGTATTTGCAGCACTTTTTGTCCCTTTTAGACTATACACTTTAATATGATGATAGTGATAATCACTTGTGTAGTGAATACGTATAACATGTAAATATTTTGGCTGAAACCTGTAAATCAAAAAACATTTTTGATTTCATTTATAAAATCGATTGTGTAACTTTTGTTCTAGTTTCAAAATCAGTGAAGTTCGGTGAGTCGTTTCTACTAATGATGTATTTTCAAATCAACAGATTTACTGTCTCATATTTCATTGAGAAGTTTTCAGGCATTGATTACTGTTATATAAATTCGAATTCAGATTGAGTTTACCGGTGACTATTTTCAAAAAAGAGGTGTAAAAAGTTATGAGATTCGTCATGACTCGAAAGTTACGTTGCACAAAATAAGATAATGGAAAAGTGTGGCATGAAAAGATAGGTTTCTGTGTGTATAGAGTATTGGCAGTTGTAACGGTAACTTATAAGGTTCGATGTTTTCACTTGAGATATTTGTTCTTATGATAGCTGGAACACAGACACTACATTTAAATACAAATATTCGAAATTTGCCTCAGACCTAAGTGCTGTTTTCACACGATACGCGATAATGTCCTCACCTATTATTGTCAAGTGTTATCAAACAGTAACCAGTGTGAAAGGGTTCTTGTGAAGTGTACACTTAACTTATTCGGCTTTGCTGAAATTTTTTGTTCCCCATTGTGTCTCACTTATATTTTGTTACAAATAATGTTTTCGTTTATTTACATTGTGCATCTTAAATATCATTTATCTTTTCAGTCATCTCAATTTCCGTACAACACAGAGTGATTGTATTTTCTTCATGTATTTATTTATAAGACTGCAAATATCTTAATGGATGACATGATTGTTATTCACGTCAGATGGCTGGAGGTAATCGGCAGGAAGCTTTGGACCTAGGTTCCGTGTTAGTTGGCACTCACCAGTAAGCAAGGCGTATCTACAGCCTTGAAGGAATTCATATCCCTTTAGAGATTTAAATCCGCGTCACTGAGTGCTGCAGTCAGAAACGTTACCACTGAGCTATTTGAACTCGCGATTGGCCTCCTGTCTATCATATATATATATGAGTGAATGAAAGAATGGTCTAGTACCTTGGACAAAAGCGTGACATAAAAAACTGTTACTGATAAAAGAATGGAACCTGTCTACTTCAGCAGAGTATAACTCCATTATAAAATAGATTTTTCGACAAAAGCATGCAGTAAGAAAGCATTATTTACGGGTGACATTCTAACAAAAATTCTTTGGGTGAAATCATTTCAAGCTTAGTTTATGTGATTCAGCTATTCCTTATCCTTTGAATTTATTGGTATCGTTATATTCCACATCTCTCATATTGACGTTGAGTCATTCCTATTGTACGCACCATATGTAGATTCCATGAACAAAGATTAAGTGATCAACCTCTCCCCACCCCACTTGTCTGCATTACATTTTAGGACTATCTGTGGTTCTGTTCCACCCTGTTGTGTGATTGTGTGTCAATGCATGCATTGCGATTGCTGAGTTTTCCCCTAAACTATTCGTCATCCTGTGGTCAATCGTTCTACACTTAGCTAAATTCTTATATTCAGATAATCTGATTATCTCCTATCTACTGGTCTGACGAATAAAGTTGACATTGCAGTCATTGCAAGGCATTTGATAGATTGAACTATTTTGTATAGTTGAGTCACTAGAGTCATATAGCCTACACAACGTATCCTTGAATTAGTTTGAAAGTTTAAATGCCAACCCAATTCCCACTTTATTTAGAATCATTTGTAGGTTGTTTCAGATGTCTCTTCATCCAGCGGTAAAACTGCAGTTGCTTTAAATTCTTTTGTAGTTATGTTGTGACGAGTAGTCTGACTATTATTTCGTCTTTTCTTGTGAGCATTCTTCATCTTTAAATGAATGAGATGAGTTGGTTGGTAGTTTTTGGGAAGATTCAACAATTACAATGCACTCATTGACACACAATCACACAACAGGGTGGAACAGAACCACAGATAGTCCTAAAATGTAATGCAGACAAGTGGGGTGGGGAGAAGTTGATCGCTTAATCTTTGTTCATCGAATCTACATATGACACGTTAAATGAGAATGACACAACATCAATATCAGAGATGTGGAATGTAACACTACCAATACACTTAAAGGATAAGAAATGATGGAATCATGTAGATGAATTTTGACAGTTATGTGAATGCCTCGATATGATTATGAGCAATACATTTTGCTTGTAACGTCATCAGCAAATAATACTGTATTACTGCGTACATTTTAATCGGAGAAATGTATTTTATAGTGGAATATTAAGTGATCACTCTTTGGAATATCATGTTCACAGGAAGGAATATGAAGTTGTTTTTGTCTAAATGCATTTTAATCTGAACTCAAATAAACAGACAACCCTTCATAAACCTAAATGACTTCCATACACAGTGTTGTCGATTAAAAAGCTTTTATTTTCATCTCCTACGTTGAAATCTTTCATTAAATGCAGTGCAAAATCAATCACATTCATCAGTCATGTTTATTAGCCAAATTGGTGTATTAAGAAAGGACATTTTTTCCCATCGATCTGACCATATACTCCACATTCTTCCCATAACCTTGATATGGTTTTTAGTCGGTTTCAGGGAACGACTACATGAACAACTTTAAACAGCACTTATATCACGCGCCAAAATGTGTAGCCTGTTTGTTTGCCCACTTGTTTAGAATAATTGTGTTTCCTGCGAATGTACTACCTCTTGATAATGGTATAACTATGTCTGTTCTCTTCAAGTCATTTCAGTTTTGAAACAGTTTGTAAATTAAAGTTGGCTCAGCTGAATTCTCTCGAGTTTTTAGATAATGAAGCAAAATCATTCTTGTCACTTGTCCATGCGGCATTTTTTCTCACTTTCCTCTCAAAATATTAAATCTTGATATAACAATCATAGTCGTCCAAATATTTAAAAATTTGTTTTTCATTTCTATCTTCAGCTCATTGGTTTAGCAGTTCTCGGCTTCTCCGTGTACATTTATTTGGAACCGGAAGCTCAGGATATTATATTAGCATCAGGACAACAGCATGTAGTACAAATAATGTTATACGCTTTAATGGGGATCGGTGGTATTACACTGGTTATCGCGTTGTTTGGTTGTTGTGGTGCATATCATGAATCACAATGTCTACTGGGAACCTACTTCACAATACTTATTATGATATTTGCAACTCAAGTGACCGGAGCTACATTGGGTTACATATACAGAGAGGAGGTAAGTTTCATTTAGATAAGATGATAAAGGTATCATGGTTATGTTATGGGAATACAGTGTGATTTTATACTTTTCGATGAGAGAGTGGTTAAAAAGTCGTGTATATTCACACATGATTTCATCAGAAGCAGTCACCTGTGGGTGATTATTTACAATCTGTCCCGTGTTAGTTCGCGGCAATGACAAAGTAGTCGTAGGACTTGATATTTCTTGTATTTCTTTTCTCAAAGTGGCGCAAGACTACCGTTTTGGCTTTCGCAAAACATTCAAAAATGCAAGCGTTTCGACTGCCCATATGATCGTCTCAACCAAATTAGTTATCGTTAGTTATCTCATTAGAACCTCTAGACATCAAGACACTATTTATTCCCACCCCTTGAAAAATTCAATGTGAAAATGCCTAACGAAAATATCACAGATGCTATGTATACTGTCTGTTAAACCAGTGCTAAATTGTTGTCTGAAGACAACTTGATAATCGTGGACATCTGATTCTTTCAAGAAGCTTGTACTTATCAGTGAAGTATTTAAAAAATTACCACTAACAACACTGGGTTATCCATTGTGTTTAAAAAGACATGGCAGAGAAGTTGTGTATTGGCATTAATAAACATTCTTCTGAGATCTGCTATTCACTAAACAACGATCATTTTAGTTATAGGAGAATAATAATGGAGGTTGTTCTGTCAAACTTATCATACAAGACACAAATTCTCCCTCTTTACCCTTCTGTCTGGTCCACTGCTTCTTAATTTTTTTTATTTCTTTGCTTTCCGAGGGGAACACAGGGCTTCTAGCTTAGAACTCTGAATTTTCAGTAGCAGTGATGTTATTCTTTTTTAAGGGCTGGGGTTGCTAGCTTCACACTCATTTTCCTTTCCTTAACGACCTTACTACCAGCTAAGCAGTGAGGTTTAGCAGTACGTCAGCTAGGATTCCAACCCTGGTTCACGTCCATGGTGGGCGAGCATCTGATAGCCATTTGAAAACCCCAGTTCTCATTTCTAATGTTCACAATCAGTGGGTCGCTAAGTTATTAGAAGTGAATTTTGAAGGACTGGAGATTTATGGCATACTGACAAGCTTATAGATTTTAATGAGTTGGTTGCACTGGGGTCCTTCCAATCCTAATTTATGACGTTTTTCACACAAGTGATATGACGGAGACAGTAACGTGAGAGTTCTTTACAGTAACTCTATAGAGCATATATTGTCGTTTTTATACATTCGACAGCGTAGAATCTTAATTTAAGTACTGCTACGCTTGATATCGTTAAATGATATGGGAAAGAATAACACATCAAATGTGTGTAGATCACTTTGATGGTTTATTACAAGTGTGACCAATAACTGACTGACTGACCAGTTTCAGAAGAGAACTTTGTACAGAAGTGCGGCAGTTCCAGTCGCCACACTCTCTCCATGTAGCATACAGAGGTAGAAAAAAAGAGATCCAGAAAAACGATAATAAGCAGAAATATGAGGGAGAAAGAATAGTAACGGAGGAAAGCAATTGGCTTTGAATGGATACGAGATCTCTCACAAAGAGTGAATGCATCTGCGTAATTGACAACAATTTCGAGCCACATCACCAATTCTCTCCAGCTATTGGTTTTTAGTTACTCGAGGGCCCCAACCAAGCAGTTTACACCACCCTATGTGGCTGGCTCAAACTAACTGTTAAAGATTTCTTGAATTAATTCTATGTTTTCGTCCGACCACCACCACCAGCTCTTTTCCAACCTGATCCATCCTACTTCAGATAACATTGTTCGCCGAGGAAGGCGGTGGTTTGGGTTGCGCAATACATGTTCTAGCCATTTCAATCGATGTAATTTCATGGCTCTGTCGATTGATTTTCCCTTCTTACTTAGCGATCGATCCCTAACCTCAATATTACTCACCCTATTATACAACCTTACATGGGAGATAGAACGCAGACACCTTTTATCGAAGACAGCTGGCCTTCTCACCATGTCTTCCACTCTCACCGGCTATGTCTCGTAGCCGTAAACGATGGTAGAGCTAACTACAAAGCAGTATACACACCCTTTGATTGATAGCCAACGGGATATCACGTCTACACTAGAGGTGGTGTAAGTTGGCAGATGCCAAACGAGCCTTCTTTATCCATACTGAGATTTCGTCAGCAATTAACCCGCTGAGGCTAATACAACCTCCTGAATAAGTAAAGTGGTCAACATACTCCACCAACTACTTTACTCCCTATCTTAAAGATAGGGATCAGTATATTCCAGTCTTTTGTAGCATTATCTTACATTTGACGGGAAATTTCTGCTCAAGGTGTTCAAAAGACTCTTCATTATGACCATTAAACTGGACAAATAAGAATTATTTTATAGTATTCCTTTCACATTTTCTAGTTTCATAAACTTTTTATTAGATTTGTTCATTATTTTTCCATATGTCTGCATGCCAAATTTATGGTGTTATTCAACTGTGTATGTATGGCTAACATTCGTCTAACCCTAATGGTTTTGAGTGTTCTGTGATTGACTGTGTGTTATGACTTATCTATCCGAATGTTTGAGTGTTTACAGATCAGTAATAGAGAATCCTCTGAAGGGTCACAGTTACTTCATTTGTTTTCCATACCTTAGCTGCATCGTAGATATGAGAATCAATAATGACTATATTTATCATCTAGCATCGGTGGCACAGCGTTTAAGACGCTCACCGACCATGCACATGGTCCGTGTTCGATCCCCGGCCACCGAGTCACTCCTTTACCTCGCTAAGCCAGTAATTAAAAAAGAAAGCTGGTAAAGAGGAAAGGTTGGGCATGAGGCTAGCAATCCCATCCTGTAAAAATAAATAACACTGCTGCAGAAACTTCTAGCTTGAAGTCCTATGTTCCACTGGGAACGTGAAGGAATAGAAAAATATTTATTATTGAAGATAACACGTAGTTTTATCCCTTTTAAGTCTGTACAGGTTGTGTTTACAGATATCTGACAGTTATTTTGTTCAAGTTATTAAATGTATAGTTTCACCTGAGATAACGTCATATTGACTACTAGTAGTATTAGTCTAGTCTGTATTCCTGCTTTGTCTCGTTATCGTTAAGCCTTAGAAACTACCCTAGAATCCTATCTTAACCATTATATCCAGGCGTTTCGACTGTTATTAGTATAAACTCTTACTGTATAATAAATGTCTACATTACACTTGAGTGAATATACCTTAATTATAATTTTTTAACACCGGATATAATAAGTTTAACTTTGTTTACAAAAACACAAATTAGTTTTAACTAGTTTTACATGAATTCATTGTTGGATTATACAGTGTTCAGGAATTAGTTTTGGTCTTGAGTATGTTCAGTCGTTATGTTGATCTGTATCCTTCGGATGCCCCCTAACCCACTGTTTCCCATTTAGGTTTGCATTTCAAGGCCACTGATGTGTGACGATGACACTTTACAGTCTCCTCGATGTATGTTCAGTCAACCTCCACTTTGTCCTGTGTATTTGTTGGGTAATTGATTCTTGATCGATTCTTGGCCAGTGTCGCTTGTTGGTTATCCTTTCTTGCCGGCCATCCCACTTTCATTATCGAGGCGGCCTGTTGAATACTCTTTAACTTACACATTCACACCAATTCTCTGAACTATATGACAACAATCATTTGACATTAGTACTGAGTGAGTAATGTAGATCTCTCCACTGATTTTAGAGCAATCAACTCCTGTTTTCCTTTTTAGATATGATCCTCATCTGTGCCGCTTGTTGTTGAAACGATGTTGTACAGATAGGAAATTGAAGCAAATGTCTTCCTGCTTTAGGGCTCTCTTGTTGATAGTGACCGATGCCTGTTGTCATTGGTTGAGTATCTGCAGTACCTCTGCCTTCTCTAAGTTCACCTGCAGTTCTACTTTTCTCAGCCTCTTGTATTAACTTTTTTGTTTTCATTTGTCAATCTTCTATTTTTTTTTATTTGAGACATAAAACATAAACCATTCTCGAAATCCAGACCTTCTAGGGTCTTTCTGTAGGTCAAATGAATTTTCATCTTCTCAGTTTCCCTGGTCTGCTGAATGCTGTAGTGGGCCACAATCCATATCTAATCTTAGAATTGAAATAGATCGTAATGGTACTGGTGAGAGTATCTTAGATAACCAAAGTAGTCTTATGTTTCAGTTAATTTGAATTTCTTGTTGATTAATTTATCACTGAAATGAAGTGTTCGGTCTCCGTTGTCTTATCGGCTCGTAGTATAGCCACTTCGATAATGTCTAACATAGTTTAACATGGTATCATAAGTTTGGTGATGATTAGCTTAGCTATGCAATACGGGACTCGTATTTCATCCTATTTAAGATAAAAGGCGACTCTCACGACCTATTGGACTATGCTTTGTAGTTTGAAACAGCAGGTGCTGGGTTCGAGTCTTGGTGAGAACAGTACCATTCGTTGAGGACACAAATACACCCAGATAATGTGTCTTGAATTCCACCCCTAGGCATCATCAATCAAATGGCAACACTAAGTAGTCTTAGTCAGTCTGACCAAGGTGCCATGCAGTCAGTATATTATCTCTTCATAAGGGCTAAATATGAGTGAAGAAGACGACCCACCCCATTTTTTATGATTATTTCTAGTTTCTAGTACTTAAGCATACTATTCATTTACCAATTTACGATTCATTTATAACTTCATTTCATTTGACGAAATTTTAAGCTTCAATCGAACACTAGTTAATTACTAGTGCTTTGTTTGATGTAGACTGATTTCTATCTGTCAACTTTTCAATGTGGCCACCCCACCAAGGAGCTCACCAACATCACGGTGCACTCTGAATCTTTTTTATCATTAAACTGTTGGAGTCAATCGGTAGAAGTAAGCCTTGGACCTGAGTTTCGTACTTGTTGGCACTCATCAGTCAGTAAAGCATATCTGCAACCTTGAAGGAACAGCTCATTTCCCTTCTGAGATTTGAAACTATGTCATCCAGTACTGTAGTCAGTCAGCCAGAGATAC